GTCAATGATGACCCCCAAGTCTCTTTCTTCCGTAGTGCTAGCCAGCGTAGCACTGTCAAGCCTATAAGGATGCTGCAGGTTTTTCTTCCCAAGGTGGAGAACCTTGCATTTTTTGGTGTTACCCAAATCAAAGATGACTCTGAATTTAAGATGGCTTCCCAATTCTTAGATTCTGGACATGGAAAATTATAAATTTGTTTTAACTTTCCATGTCTAGAATTGGAGGGTTGTTTTAAACTCACCCCCACCAACACCAGTGTTGCAGGGAAAGTAATGACAGAGAAAGCAGTAGCCGTGGAGATAGGCAGCCTGCCCCCTGCTCCTTGTCACCCCCTCCGCCCTTGTCAATGCATCTTCCCACCTGCCACCTGTCCCCACCCCAGTGCCCTCTCCCTCCTGCCACTTGTTCTCCTCTTGTGCCTGTTTCCCTTCCCCCACACCCCAGATCTGGTTCTGTCTGCCAAGGGCAGTTTCAGATCCAGCCTCCAGCCCTGCTTGGGGTTGGGAACAGAGATGCACCCCCACTGCTCCACATGCCCCTTCCTGTTCTCCCCTTGCTCCCTTTCCTCCAGGCCCTTCCCTTGCATTTCACATGTCCCTTTCCCCATGCCCTTTCCCCTCCACCCTGTCCTCATTTCCATCACACCACACATCGCTTCACCTGCACTCCTCTTGCTGCCTCTTCCCTGTGCTCCCCACATCGCTGAGCACTCTTTCCCTTCCATTCCCCCTGCGCTGCATGCACCCTTCCTCTCACCCTTTCTCTTCACTCCCCTCACTCCGTGCTCCCCTTGAACTGTGCCCTTTCCTTATGCTCCACAAGTCCCTTTCCCAAGGTTCCCCTTGCTCTGCACATCCCTTCCCCTACAATCCCCTTGCCACCCTTTCCCCTGTGCCCTCCCGTACCATGCACCCCTTCCTCATGCTTCCCACTGCACTACATGCCCTCTCCCCCATGTTCCCTCTGCCCCATGCGCCCACTACCTTGCTCTGTTCAGAGCTTTAGCAGCTGTTTGCCTAGCCCATACTCAGACATAAGACATGGGTTTTTCCCCCATTCTGAATCCTCAAAAAAACCCTCATCTTAGATTCAAATAAATATGGTAGTATTAATTTTATAGGCATACATCATCTATCTTAAAACTTGGCCTTTTAGAAAAATCATCTAGTGTATTAAAGACCTATAAATGGTCTTTCCCATCTCTTACTCCCAGTGCCACAATCTGATTCTTTCTTCGCTTTCTAGCTTACTTATCAATCTTTTGAAACTGAAGAAAATGAAGACTGCTCCTATGACTCTGTGACAGTATATGAGGATTCAGCAAAAGAGGAGGAAATAGGTTTGTGTTTTTTTTATTCCTGTCCTGTCCTTTCCTTTCCTAATACAGGAAATCAGGTCAGACCTGACTTCGTCTCATCCCATATCTCAAGTAAAAAAGTGACAGTATATAAAACCAATTCCATTTTTCTACTGCCAGATGCTATCCTGTACGCTATCAGTTTTCAAATGTTTTAGAGTTAAGGCACCCCAGATAGACTCAAGAGCCACGTCCAGACAAACGAGCACATCCCTGTTGTAGCACCTCAAAGCACTTTGAGATGCCATGGGGCATGCTAGGAATGAAAAGATGTTTCCCCCGCTGCATATTTGCAGCACAGACTCTAAATTTGATACCAGGAAATCCCAATATAAAAAAAAAACAAAATCAAAACATGCCGGAAAAACCAATGCAGGACATGCTCCTGCAACATGTCCGGGCAACCAGAGGCCTCTGGTTGGGTCCTCCAACGAGGTGCTCTGGCACCTGGCCAGAGTGTCTCTATACCTGCCATGTGCCCCTGCTGCTCCACCATGCTGATTCATCATGCTGGGGCAAATAGGAGTGGGACAAAGCTGCAGTGACGGCTCAGACCCAGGCTCTGTCCCAGGTGAGCAAGGACATGGCAGAGTGGAAGACTGTGGGGGTGGGGGAGACTGCTCAGGAGGGGTGGGTCTCCCACCTGACCCTGCATGGTGCACAGCCCCCCTGCAGCAGCAGCAGTGGCCATCAGGGTGCTCATGGCACTCAGTTGCAAGAGACCCCTGGCAGCATGGCACCACCTTAGATCTGGTGGCTGCACTTGGTGCTGGCTCAGCCACTGGCATGCACCCTTGGGCAGAACTGGGCCACTCTTGCTGTCACCCATGGCTCCCGGCACCACACATGCATTATTGGTCCAGGTTAGCTCCTGCCTCCATGGAGCTGGCCTGGCCTGATAGCACATGGGCCACATGGAGGCAGAAGCTGGCCTGGCCTGATGGTGCAGAGCTTCTGTGTGCAGTGCCAGGAGCTGTGGGTGACAGCAAGAGTGGCCTGGTTGTGTTTGAGGGTGCATGCCAGCAACTGGGCCAGCACCATGTGCAGATCTTGGGTTTGAGGCAGTGCAATGCCAAGGGTCTCTGCCAACAGCAGGCCATGAGCACCCTTATGGCCACTGCTGCTGCTGCAGGTTGAGGGGTGGGTGGGCATGGGACAGTCCCTCCCCACCCCCCCCACAAAACTTACACCCATGCACAAATCCCCCCACACCCCTTTGCGCCCAAACCTCACATCCCCTCATAACTCTCACACCCTGCGTGCCCACATCTTGGTGAGCAAAGTGGGCAGGGACAGCTCTGATTTTTCTTTGATAAAAAATCCAAAAGCAAATGCCAAAGTGTATAGATGTTTAAAATTCATTTTATTATGATGATAGAGGCACTGGTAGGCTTCCACATTAATATTGTAAATATATCAATAAAACATTGCCCAACTGATCTCTCTCTATATAATGGAGTTTCATTTTAATTGTTGAAGAACACAGATTTTAGGTATTTTAATGAGAGAATTTGCTTTTTTTAAATCAGAGAATTTGCCATTTTAAAACAGGGAACACCAGAATCTCTTCTAGTGAGGCAAGTGGTGGGGCCCAGGCTGAGGAGCTTGTCCAGGGCCAGCATTTGGGACCCAGCTGGAGGGCAGACGAGGTGACTGATATCCAGGCCCCAAATGGCTAGAAGGACACACTTCATCAGTTCAAAGTGGGCCACCATAATGAGCATATCCTCTGGGTGCACCAAAAGACATGACAGTAGTGCTGACCAAAGGCCAACTGTGCAGCCATGGCCCGCTGGCAGCTGGCCCAGAGGTGCAGGCTGCTGTGCTGCAGTGCTTGTATACCACCCCCAGGCAGCCATACAGTCCCCACTTGGGTCTAGTTCCTTGTGCCAGCTGGACTGCTGAGGCAGCCCTAACCTAGAGTGGCCCCCACACCCTTTACCCACTGCAGCAGTCTGGAAGTGGGGGCTGCTGCCTGGCTGTGATTTGCTGTCACCTACGACATCATCCTCCCCCTTAGACCTGCAGCCCCACGGCTGCATGGCTGCCAGACCCTCATGGACACCTGGGCTGTGGAATGGACACTGCAGCCCAGCCTCCTGCACCCCTCAAGTTGTTTCTGGGACCAGGAGCACTCCCAGGGCAGAGATGCATGTCATGCCCCAGCACCGGTATGGGCACGGGGCAGGGCTACAGTG